GTGAGCTTCTGGGGGCGATGAGCCCAGGAGGAGGGGCCCAGTTTGAATGTTGTGTTTACAAACATTTCTAATGACTTGAACATGTGATCATGTTGTATTTAAATTAATGAAACTTTAAACCTATCATCAGGTGACTAAAGGCTACCATCATTTTTGTGTCTGTTTGTGTTTTGTTGAATCTGGTGTCTATGTTCACTGTGAGTGTTTCTTGTTTGTTGTTCTGCAGAATTGATTGTTCTTTGTTGTCTTTGTTGTTTCACTGTGAGGCGATGTTGTTTTCTGTCCTGAGAGCTGCTTTTACATGAATCAGAGCGCTGATCTATAAACTGGAGTCTCTACTTTAATGACCTCATTCTGTGAGTCTCTGAAGAGTCTCACAACAGGGACAGCAAGTTTCATCTGTGGGTTTCTTTTTGTTGCTGATTCCACACTTCACACTTATGGAGCTATTATTTTGGCAAAACTTTTTGAAAATGCACGAGACGAGAGGCTTCAGGCTGCAGCCATACACTCACACATTTGATATCATGTGTATGCATTTGTGGATCTGGAGTGAACAGTTGGCTCGCCTCAGTTGTACCCGATGATTTGTTTTCATTTTCAGGACTTACAGCAAAACAAAACTCACTTTTCTGACATTATTAAAAAGAAATAAAAATAGATCAAAATATTTGCAGATCTATGCATGCATTTGTGGATCTTTTTACGTATTTTCAAATAGTTTTGCCAAAATAATTACTCCAAACACACCGTTTCAGCAGACATTTCAATTTGTGTTCCTGCAAAACTTTTTCTTCACCGAGCAGGATTCAATTATTTGGACTGCTGTGATCCACAACCTTTACCATTTATACGACTGTCACACTAAATTAGAGTGTGCATGATGTTGGAAATCAAAGAAGTTGAGTACACACTATAATGTTCAGAGTTGGGCACTGATGATACATTTAAATGTATTTGAAGTTTCAAATGATTGAAGAAATATTACATTTAATGTTTCATTTCTTTGACATTCTGGACTCCCTCACTATAACCTGTTATGGTGAAACCTTAGACCTCTCAGTCTGAGTGTCTGCAGATCTCATCGGGACACAGGGCTGAAAGTGGAGTGTTGAAAAGCCGTCTCAGTCCCTGTTGCTTTAAACGATGACAGCAGAGTTTGTGGAGGGAACACTGTGCTGCAGTCTGAACACAGCAGGCCTCCAAAAACAGCAGACTGTGCAAACTATAGCAGACAAACTGTACCAAATATATCACTCCTGAAGCTGTGGGCATGGGGGGAAGCGGGAGGTTGAATAAGAAAATGTACTCTCAATATTTCCCCCAAACTTCTGCATGTGAAGGTTGAGTGGATGTGACAGCTGTGGAGAAAGTTTCTCTGAGTACTGAAGCCTCACAGCGGGTAATAAATCAACCACTTTTATTCCCACCACAGGTCCGATTGTGTGTGAGCGCAAACACACACACACACACACGCACACACACACACACACACACACACACACACACACATATACACTCTGTTTCTACAGAACAGTTAGCTTTATATGCACGGAGGAGTCTAGTTTACTCACCGTTATCATTCCACACTCGTCTGAACATTATATAAAAAAAGTCAGAATGTTATAATGCTCTGACACAGAAACAATCTGAGCATCAGAAACCAGCGAACATCAATGTGCGTGAACAAGGTTTGCACGAGCTCAAGCTAGTTGCACAAACACAATACTTTTTGCACTAACATGTAAAACACAGCAGCTCGCTCGCTCAGCGGCCCTTTGCACCAAGACGATCGGGGTCAAAGTCCAGCGTCAGTTCGTCTGCTGAGTCCATTAAAAACACTGTACCTTTGAGACATGGTCATGTTTGTCCCCGTTAACACTGTTTTATTTTTTATCTGACGTCTTGATGCAGGTCGTCTTCAATCTGTTCAGAGCTCACATAGTCTCTCTGTCTTTGCACAAGTTGTCAGAGTTATTAAACATAACAAATGGTAAATGGACTTTTATAGTGCTTTTAGTATTCTGACTAATCAAACTGCTTTTACACTGCATGTCACAACCACACATTCATATCCTCTCACACACTGATGGTAGATGTTGCTATGTAGTATCATCCATCAGAAGTAACTAATCCCATTCATACACCAACACCAAAGCAGTGGGAGCAATTCAGGGTTAAGTGTCTTGCCCAAGGACACACTGGACATGTTGCTCAGCTGGGTATTGAACCCTTGACCTTCTGGTTGAGAGGCAATGACTCTACCAACTGAGCCACAGGTGCCCCAAGATGTTCATGATGCTGTTGAGGGTCCTCTTGAGGATCTACGAGACCATAAAGACACGGAGGGCGGATAGGAATGTGCTGCTGACTTATAATGAAAACACACGGCTGATTCAGAGCCAAGAAAACCCAGCTTACAATCTCTACATTTGAGTTCAGAGTGACATCTTGCTGTTTTCTCAGGTGAGGCGAGGAATGAGATGATGCACATTAAACCTAGCTGAGGAGGAAAATGGTCTTTTTGCAGGGATTCTTCTTCCTGACTTTAGGAGGAGATTCCCCGGAGCAGAGTGTCTCAGGGCTGACGGCCACATGATGAAGACTTCAGCTGACTGTAGCTCTCTGTGCAGCGGCTTCTCCGGAGGCAGTATCGTCACAGTAGCTGCACCGGCATCTCATCTCCCCCCTCTGCTGCTCGGCTGGTGAACGCATTCATGAATATCTCAGGAGAGAGAGATATTCATGAAACTATAAGAAGGCATAAGATGTGTGCAGGAAGCGTCCTTTAACCTTGTAAAAAAAACAACAACTCTGAGCTTCAGATTTGAATAAGAGTCATAAAAACCAGAATGCCCCGATTGCTTCTCTTTCCTGCAGAAAATGGGAGGAGACAGCGTGAGGAAAAAAAGTCCACCTCTACAATTTCACTGAGAAATGCAGCTTTATTTACAGCAGAGGGGAGGGGATGAGACCCAGTCACTGAACGTGTTGTTGTTATCTGTCCACAGAGTGCATCATGAAATGTGAAATCTTATAGTTAGGGCCGGTGCTGGTGTAGACCAGCTCCTAGTTATGCTGCTATAGGCTTAGACTACCGGGGGAACTGGCACCTTGAGCTCCTCTCTCTCTCTCTCTCTCTCTCTCTCTCTCTCTCTCTCGCTCTCTCTCTGTGCATATACAGTACATCATATTACTGCATGTATCTATCTGTAAATCTCAGTCACTAATCACCTACTTTCCTGGGAGCTCTTGAGCTCTCTTAGGCTCCTCGAGATCGTTAGTCTTTTACCTGCTTTTTGTAACATAACAATGAGTAAGGTCTTTTACCTGCTTTTTGTAAAGTGTCTCCAGATAACACTTGTTATGAGTTGACGCTATACAAATAAAAATTGATTGACTGACTGATTGATTGATTGGTTGATTGATTGATTGAAAAAAAGAGTTTCAGGTACACTGCTCCTGCAGCCTGGACCCTCCTGCAGGAGGATCTGTGTCTGAAGGAGCTTCTCTCTCTAAATCTCTTTAAGTAGATTGAAGTGCTGGAGGAAGACTTTCTGCTCTGTTACCATGGAGATGTTTGTTGTCGTTAAAGGTGCTGCAGCCCGTCTCGGTCAGGACACTCTTGTAAATGAGGTTTTCCTGGTTTAATAAACTTTAAATCAAAAATGTAAACAATGCAGGGTGCAACATCATATTTCATGTTTATTTGTAAAGGGACCACACTATTTAAAGCCCCTCCCTATGTGTCTTTTATAATAAATTAAAACTCAACAATAGATTCACATAAAACAGAACCAAACATGCACAACAACAAACTGAAAGAACAGTCCATCATGAAGCGTCATTTTCTGTGAACGGCCACTTCTTGTGCAATTTATCAACGTCACGCTGCGTACACGTTCAGATAGAAACAAAGATTTCAGTCAGGAATACTCTCATCATAGATTTAACCATTTATTGCCCTGATGGTGTGTACAGTTGTTTTTGGCGGTATTGGATTTGCTCTTAGCTCTCAGCAGGATCAGTGCAGCATGCCACAGATCTTCCTGAGAGCAAAAACATTTAATTCCCCCCACAGGGACAGGCAGAACAGAACCTGAATGTGCATGTAATGAGACTGACATCTTGCAGACATAACAAGCAAACACTTCATCCTGGAATATAAAATGAGCTGACTGAAGCTGGTGGAGGGAGAATTGCACAGCTGAGTGGATGTGATGCAGGAGGAGTGAGAGGCAGAATGGTTTGAATAGGCCACCATGTTGTCAGATAATGATTGGTTGGCATTGGGGCTTTCTCAGATCAGCTGATAGCCGCTTGCGGGCAGGACTACCACACTCCACCTGAACTAATCTGCCTCAACTCCATTTGTTGTTTTCTCTGAGTTTCCCCCCAAACTTCTGCCCCTAAGGCTGACAAACTTGAAAACCACAGCAGTGGCTCCAAATGTGCAAATTTTGCAATGACAGCAGCAAACCTCCCTAAGGGGGCCCCCTCTGACAGCACTCCCTCTCGTTGCCCTGCTGAGTGTGGCATGCATTTCTGCTGTGAAAACCAAATTTTGTCAATGAAAGTCACGAATTATCTGTCTGGGAGCAAAAAAAAGAGAGAGAAAGAGGAAGAGGAGTAACTGCGGGCTGACAAAATGATGGTGAATGCTGGTTGGAGGGGCCCCCAATTAATTTTTGACCAGGGCCCCGACAGACTCCAGAATCGCCACTGTTCACCATGTAGCATCAACATGTCTAGATGTTGTTAATAAATGTACAACTGTTAGCAGAATACTTCATGTGAGCTGTGAGGAAGAGATGGAGACCTTTAAATTAAAGTAGCTTTACATGTTTCTACCTTGGTCTTCTTTAAACCACTAAAGAAGATTCTGGCTACCTGAAGGTGAAAGTGAAGGTCATGTTTCATTAACCAGGTAGATGGATGGTGTAGATAGATGTGATGTGATGTCACGTCCTTGTTGCGCCTCCCCTGCAGTCTGCTGCGCCTCACACATTACAATATTTTCCTCCTCTCTCCAAACTTTTCTGCTCGGCTCTGCCTGCAGTGTGAGCGGGCAGAGAGGAGGCTGTGATGCTCTCTCTGCGGGGGAAACGCGCTGAGGAGGTACCGACACCGGAGGAGATTTATGTTTAAGGACTGCACCCCGGAGAGGAGAGGCTGCCCGGAGCCCGTCAGCATGCGGCTCCTGTTGAGCCTCCTGTATCCCGTCCTCCTCCTCACCGTCTTCGGATTATACCCCTCCATGGTGAGTGCAGGATTACACATGATGATCTAATCTTCTTCGTGTCACATCAGAGAGGTTCACTTTACTTTATGATTAATAAATACAGCCAAGAGTTTTTCTACCTTGGATAGATACGTGACAGATTCCGTTGACGGATTCTGTCACGCGAAACTTCACGCAAAAGTCCGTCAATTGAATGTCGCCCTGTTTACCAGGAACAGTGAAATAAATCATGTTGGAAACATTTAGGAAGATTAAAGCACGCCGTCGAAGCTCTAAACTTGGGTTTATATTAAATGCACATACGCACTTACAGTATATTCACGCCCTTTTCTCAAGGTCTGCTACACCCGAAACAAGAAGGATGAATCAAAGATAAAAGTTTAACAAATTTAGTTCTAGGTGATAAACATTATGTGTGACATAAACAGATCATTATTGAGGTACAGAGCGAGTTTCTTCAATCGGAAATATGTGAGAAGACTTGAAACTGTCGCATTGTTCCAAAGAAAAGCTGCAGCATCACACAAAAAGCAGAAACCCGAAGCACACGCCTGAATCATTTAGTCCATAACATACATTAGAAATCGCCTTTTCTGCAGAAACACTCCTTTTTACTGATCCTTTCTCCTGCCCACTTGTGGATCTTCTTCTGCTTGTGAGCTGAGAGAGGCAGCATGAAGCGACACACGCTGCAGGATGTTGGATTGTTTTCTGTCTTAAAGGACATTGCGATGCTTCAGACATTTGTGCCTGTTTGTCTTCTACCCCTACACCCACCCACCCCCTGGGCTCCATCTCTCTTGTCTTAATTTAACACGATGCTCCTTCCTGCTTCTGCTGCTTTGTCTTCTTCACCTGAGGCGTATGTGAGGAAACAGCCTGAGCAGTGATTTGTTGATTTGTATCAGAGGAGAGATGGAGTAAGCCTGACTAAAGCTGACAGCTCTGTCTCTGGGTCCCTTTATGATTAATGGAGAATCAATGTGTGGCTCGGGGTCCTCTGCTGGTGACGGCCAGGAGCTGTCCACTCTTTGGTGCTGAAACTTCCCCACACAGGCTCTCCTGCTCTGCAGCACGCCCAAAGCAGCATATTATTAAGCCAAACTGTCAGGAAAAGAAAACCTTGCTCTCCTGCAGGGCGAGATCCTTGATCCTCTCAGAGTCTTTGATGAATCAACTCAGAGACAGAAAACCAATGGCAGCGGTTAACCAGATCATCCTTAAGTTTGTTATCCAGTAGACGTAATGTCATGAAAGCTTGCAGTACAATTAAAATTTAAATCGATTTGATAATAACATATACAGTATTATTATTTCTTTAGCCAGCAGGGGCGATGTTTGACCTAAAGATCCAGTTGTTATACTTAATAAAACTTATAACTTATAGCTTATATTAAAGGCAGGGTTGGTCATTTCCTCCAGATTCACTTTTTAAGATTTTGGTTGAAATTGTCTTTAGGACCTGACAGAAATTAATAACTCATGTTCTGTAAAGACTTCAACCAATGTCTGCCACGAAGTACTAATCTGATGAACCAATCAGAGGCCTCCCTGTCTCCCTGCTCGCTCTCTACCTCTTGTGTGCTCTAGCTCACACTCAGAGAGCGTCACCGATGACTTTAGGAGTTTATACTGTGAGTTTACTTACCGCTGAATGAGACCTGAGACGACGTAGTTTCTCTACAAATGTAAGAGATGAGCTGAGGTCCACTTCTGGAGGGATGGAGCTCTGTATGTAAGTGAGGGGGCGTGGCTTATGAGGGAGCACAGAGGGGAGGGGGTGGTTGCAGACGGAGCACTGAGGGAATGCTACTTTCAAAATCATGCTAGTTTTAGAAAGTTACCAACCCTGCATTTTAGTGACACAAATGTAAAATCTTTCTGTGATTCAGTACCAGAAACACAAGTTTAATATCGGCTTATTTAAAGACACAGTAAGTAGATTCAACCACCAGGGGGCTCTCAATCAATACTACAATAACAAAGGATGACACAGTAATGATGTGGACAAATACCCTCTCAGAGGTGGTCTTGATTTAAAATCCGGAGTCCGCCCATTCTGAGACCGAGACAAGACCAATTTTTAGTCCGAGACGAGACCAAGACCTGGTCTAGGGACCAAGATGGATTTTGAGTAACGCAACACTAATAATTAATAATAATTGTCTGCAGACAAACGATCAGATGGCTTCTGTTGTGTTCATTTGAATGAAGAAGCTGATAGATGGACAACCCATGAAAAGAATCATCACATTGTTGCCGTTACAGCAGAGCTCTGACGTCTCCTCCTCTGTGTCGTTCTTTTTGCCTTCATGAATGATGTTTCCTCTCATGACTTTCATCTGTTTGAGATAACATCCACTGTGGAATATGAGATGCGGCTGGAGCCAGAGCTGCATGCAAATGGCTGCGCTGAAGGCCTTAGGTGTTTAGAACGCTGTGAAAAAGGAAAACCTGTAGTGACACTAAGGAGTGAGTGAGCTGTCAGTCAGAGGCTGAAGACCTTTGTTTGTTTCAGAACGAGACGGGGGCCTCCACATCGTGCCATCTTTTTGTTTCTTCTTCCCGATAGGTTCAGTGAAGTAACTTTAATTTCCCTCAGATCTGTTCTGGATAAACAGACTTAATCGGGGGCTAATGGAACAGGTTTCCCTTTCGTCGCAGTGTGGAATGATCCGGTGGGACAGTTATTACCTCTGCAGTGTACACAACAGATCCCTGAGGAGCCTTTGTGAGGAAATGAAATATTTGCATAGTGTAGTTCTCCCTCATGGTGTGTGCCAGCCGGGTAATTACATGGCGGCTGCTAACGGCACTGTGTTCCTCTCATCATGATCCCAATGATGGCTGGAATCTGTGTTTTATGATTGCACATTATATCCTGCACCTGGAGGACGTATCGATCGCAGGAGGAACAGAGACTTAATGGACTTCAGGAGTCTGACGTCAGAGCGCTGCCACAATCCAATTGTCCACTTAAACTCAATACATACATCCAGGACCCCGCTCAGACATCACAGCTAATGGCTAACGGCCATTTGGAGGTTCGAGATGGAATCCCATTGATTTTATGTGAGTTGTATTTTATCTTTATCAGCGTTGTCCATTAATATTATTCTATTTTATGACCGGGCCCATCCTTTGCTGTCAGTGCTCTGAAGTATCTGCAGCATCTTCAGGAGAGTCTGATGATTTCACTTACTTACAGTCAGGACATTTGTATGAAACGTGGCGGTAATCTTAGGCCCCGTGTCCACATGGCGTTTTTTTCTGAGCGACAGCATCTTTTTCAATTGGTTTCAATGAGAGCGTTTGCAGCAGCAAGCAGGCCCTCAGAAAAAAAGCTACACTTTTTGTTCAAAGCTACACCTTTTTCTCGGTGCTCTGAGCTCTTCAAGTTGAAAATCGTTCAACTTTTCAAAAAGGCGCTGTTTACTCTTTTTTTTTGCGTCCTACACATTGTGTCTTTTACTCCAATCCTCTTTGCTCCGTTTCTGTGAAAAAACAATCTGAAATTGAAAACAGTAAAAAATAACGGCATAATGTCAGTCATACAGCGGCCATTGTCAACAGACTGTTGTCATGGAGACAGGGCGGACATGCAGCGCTTTTCTTAGCACAAACATGTTTAATACAAACGCTCCTGAGTGCACAGTTCCAATTTCTCCCCCTGCTTTGGTGGTGGTGTATGAATGTGATTAGTTACTTCTGATGGGTGATACTACAGAACGGCTTTCTAACGAGCAGGAAACGTCAGCTGCTGGCAGACGAGCCTTTCAGCTGTGCAACAACATCCCTTCAAAGAAAGCTTCGCCGTGTTTCCCACATTAACGATCAACAGGAGGGCCAATCAATGAGAGGGAATTTTCTGTGTGTGTGTGTGTGTGTGTGTGTGTGTGTGTGTGTGTGTGTGTGTGTATGCTTCCCTACGACCTCCTCACACAGCCGCCTCCTCACGGTGACACGACGCAGAGGGTGAGCGCCTCCACACAAACCTTGTTCTTTCATTAGCGTGTTCCTTCGAGAACACGCTAAGTTGGAAGACGAGAGATAATGTCTCATCTTAGTCTGTCATGTCCAGTCCACCCTCTTGAAACATCGAGTTTTAGATTAAATTTAAATAAATATATTTCTCACCTTTGTGTCTGTTTGTAGTCATGCGATGGAGACAGGTTTCATGAGTTGAGGACGATCTCTGTCAGGTTTATTTAAATGCATCGTAATGATGGATGATACTAGCTCGATCAGAGACAGAGACAGTGTGCAGTTTGAACCTTTCATGGTCTCCTGTAGTTTCGGAGCATTCAGCCAAACAAAGAAACACGCCGCTGGAGGTCAAATGAATCTCTATAATTATGCTTTACATTGCAGATAATAACTATGTGAAGAGACTCTTCCTTGTTTGGAGCTCCTCTGAATGCCTCTGAATTAATGATAGTTTAAGAGTAATAACAGGAGTAGAGACATGTCCCTCCTGGATCCGTATCAGAGGATGAGAGCTGAGAGGAAGGACTCGAGAGGAGCGGGAGACATCTGTGGCCTCGGTAAAATGATACTGTACTTAATCAGCCGGGGACGTGATTAGAGGCTGTGCTTCAGAATATAAGAAATACATAGATGATTAAAAACTCTTTCCTGTTGCACACCATCTTTGTGTTTGTTCTGTTTTCAGTTCTGTGTTATAGTCCTCACTAAACCCTCGTTAGGTTCTATCTAGTGTTGTGCCATTGTTTGGTTACCACAGAGACGTTAGGTCCATCTTAAATAGTAGAGCATAACATCCAAACTAATTGAAACATTGTCACAGATATGACCTTTTCACTTCCTGCGGCCAATCAATGAACAGCATTTTTCTTCCTGCAGTGTTTGTTTCCTCTCGTGTCTGAGGGGGTGAATGTTTTGATGACTCATCAGTTTTGATTTGATGAAGGATAAGAGTTATTCACAATAAGGCGTGTAGCTGAACTGATTGACAGGTGGGCGCGGTGTAACGGTTTGTCAGGAGGTTTAAAACCCGC